AACGACATTCTTATGAGTGTCAGAGGAATTTTGGTGGCCCCACCTATATCGGTGGGTGGCCAACTATATTCGCTCTTGCGAAGAGTTTCAGCGCATAAAGCCTGCACCTTCGAACAGTGCGCCACTGAAGCCACTGCCGATTCCAACGGATTGTTGGAAGTCGGTCAGTTTGGACTTCATGTTTGGCTTACCGCCTGACCATAAAGGCAGGACGGGGCTCGTCGTCTTTGTAGACTGACTGATCAAGATGGTGCACTTGGCACCATGTAGCACCAAGATCTCAGGAAAAGAGGCTGCCCTCTTGTTCGTGGATCACGTGTATCGACTACACGGGATGCCCGAGTCCATAGTATCGGACCGGGATCCGCGTTTTACGTCGGGTTTTTGGCGACATGTGTTTGAGCTGCTGGGAAGCAAGCTCCACATGTCAACCGCTGATCATCCCCAGACCGATGTCCAAACAGAACGGGCCAATCGAGTCGTGGCGGATGTGTTGCGTACAATAGCGACTCCTACAGAATGGAGCAAGCAATTGCCATTCGTGGAGTTCGCTATTAATAACAGTGTTCATGCCAGTACGGGTGAAACACCGTTTTACATTCACGGACTGCGTCATCCTCGAACGCCAGTCTCGTTTTTACGCAGCCCGAGTCTTAGTGGGGGAGGGCCCTTCACTTCGCTCGGTGCGAATGCCAAAGAGGGACAAGGTTGCCCTAGTGACACTGCTAATTTAGCAGTGGTCACGACACCTATAGGTGTCACAAAGGAGGCACGGCAAGAAATGCCAGTGCTCCTTGATGATGACACTATAGTGTTGTCAACAGCGTCGACCCATGAACGACCTCTTGGAGGCGTCATAGGCGAGCTGGATGCTTAAAGCGTGAGCGAAGCTCAGCGCTTTGTGGATGAGAGATTAGCCATCACACGTAAAGTCCGTGACGCGATGGCAAGCGCACAGGACAAGCAAAAACAATATGCAGACCAGCATGGTCTCAAAAACAATGAACACTTTAGTGTTGGGGACAAAGTGCTATTAAGTACTGCTACTCTACCTAAACATGCAATTTCTGTACTACCTGGTGGTACTACTAAGCTATTGCCCCGATTCATTGGGCCCTTTACAATGGTTGAAGAAGTTGGAGACCTAAATTACAGGCTCACTCTCCCACCGTATATGAAGACGCACCCCGTATTTTACGTGGGTCGTCTGAAACGGTATGTTGATCCAGAATTGATCACATATCCGCATCGGTCTAACGAGACCGATGGTGACGTCGACTGCGAGTCGAGCGTCGCGACCGATCAGGCGACGAGGAAGCCGAGAGGCTCCCCGTGTATGAACGAGGCGATAGAGGACTCGGTGATCGAGGAGGACTCCGCGCTTGACGCGGGTCTCTCATCACCAGTCGCTCTAAGATGTCCAAGCGGGTCTTCAGGCGGTCATACGCCTGACGATCCCTCGCCCTCACATCGCGCAGATCCGAGGTCAGTCGCGAGACTTGACTCTCGAGATCTTTCACCTGCCTCTTCAGCGCAGCAGACTCAGCCTGCGACTGAACAGCAGCAGGGTAGGCAGCCGCGAGTAGGTGGGCGTAATCGCCACTCCTATAGGGCGTCACCTGTGTTGGTGGACACGGATGGGAATACGCGCTTCCTTGTTGGAAGGCTGTTGGCCCACCGGTTTGTGAAGCGAAAGCTACAAATCCTTTTCCAATGGAAGGATTACTAAACGAGCTTTGACTCGTGGGAGTCTGTGGATGCTTTGCGCGTTGACGTGCCTGGGCTAGTGGCTGCTTATGTGAAGCAGCACCAGCTGACTTCTTTCTGCTAGGTCCGGAAGGACTAGCAGAAGAAGCGTGGCGAGAATTAATTGGGGGTCGCTTACCGCCCATAATTTCATGCACACGCTTCATGGCGAAGCTGATTCGCTGCGACCGCTGTTTCGTTGCATCTACATGCAAGGTAACACGGCGCCGAAGTTCAGCTTTATAGTCGTCGGCTGTTTCGTTAGAACGCAGCACGACTGGACTGGAAAAGCACGACCAAGCGCTTTTCCCTGCATTTTACACAAGGGAAAGACGCTATAAAATTTATGAGCGTCTATAGTTGCACGCTGCAAAAGCGCTGCACTAGACCCATCCGAGTTCATCCACTCAGATGGAGGTGACATTGGTGGCAAGCCACCACTCACGTAGCCGCCCTCGCGACGGCGGGCTAGTGAGGCCGAAGATGTACTTGGTGGAGCTTTAAACTCACACTCACCTGAGTCTGAATCTCCATTATGGATTGTCAAGACATCAGCTTGAGAAGTTACATCTGACTGAATCGCGACTACTTCTTTTGAAGTAGCGCGCTCAGTCTTAGTCGCTGCGCTCGTAGGCGCAGCGACGGGGTTTTACCTTCGCTTGTAGGAAGCATAGATGCTTCCTCAAGGACGGGTGCCTCAAATGATGGGGAAATATGTCCCATCAATGCACTATGCTCATCGCAATTTTGGGGTGATGGCAGTCCTGTGGTCTCATTGTAGTCTACAATGAGAGATGGATCTTCATCCACATTATCGTGAGATGGAAGATCCACCCCAGTGCCTGAAGCACTTTGCGACGGCTGCGATAAATCGCGGCGCGTGCGCTTAGTGCTGGACTGCATGGGTGCCTTTGCAGGCGACCCATCAGCCTTACCACGTTTCGGTGGCATGAGTACTGAGCAGACTAAAGCGGCGCGTTTATAACGGCTCGCCAGTCTCTCTGTCTCTTAGGCGATGTTTTACAAAATGTAAACATCGTTCTAAAACGGGGGATGGTGTAACAGGGTATCTAGTTACACGTAAACATTAAGTAATATACTTAATGTTTGGTCTAAAAGTATCCATGATTACTTTTGACCTGTCACTTGGGTGTGATACACAAATGTGATCCACCCTCGTGAATGTGATATCCATTTATGGATTCACATGGGAAGGGATGACGCTAGTTGAAGCTAGGCATCGCGACGTCTCAGAAAGACGTCAGTTGCGATCTTAAATCTAGATTTAAGATCATGCGACAGGATACGCTTCTAAAGAGTCGCGTATCCGATCTATATATATATATAGCCAATCAGTAGTTAAGCATATATTTAGTTATAATTAATTAAATATAGCTCAGTCTTGAATTTACTTAAACAAACGCACCACGCACCAGAAGTTGCAAAGACTTCTGCGTGATGTCGGTGCTTTAGTGTTAAGAAGTTCGTTGCACTCTCGCTTAAGCGAGAGGCAACTGGGGTACGACTGCTTAAGCAGTCGACCAACCTCCCAACCTCCCAACCACCCTCGCACGCGAAGGTAAGACGGTATAACCGCTTCCTCGCTTGTGCATAAGGTGTGTGCTCGTAGTACGAGGCAACTTCGTAGAAGTTCCCGTCTACATCTGTCCACTGGAGTAGGTAAAAAGCGTTCTTTGGCGACATGGCCACGACCAATCCTGCCAACTTCTCCAGCAGCAATCACGTTGCTTTTGTGATAATGGTCAATCTCTAAACTAAACAAGTCATCAGCATCATACGCTTCAATTGGGCTGTAGCTTTGGACAATATGATAGAAACTTCCATGCACCATTTTTGGGCAATGCAGGTTATCTGAATCGAAAAAACATGTAATGATAATGAGACACCTCAAAATGAGTGAAAATTTATTTGATCTTTGTATCTGTAGTAACAGACCGTCTATTTCAAACATTAAACTTGGTAAGATGTCTGGAGTGCTTCTACCAGGACTTCGTCATTCTTCGCCTCGCTGGCTTAATCTGCTGGCTCGAGACGTCGGGCGTCACGGGGGACACTCCGAAAAGGGCACGTGGAATCGGCAATCCAGTCCGAGGTGTAAACAGTGGCTCAATGATCGCAACAAGCGCCGGGCACCACACCGATCAGTCCCGATCGACCGCTGATGCACCTGGACGGGGCCGGTCAATTCACGTTCTTGGCAAGTTCGCTTCGTGGGACCGGGATTCGCGCTCGGCGATCGAGTCGTCGGCTCAGCGGCATTTGCTTTTTCGCCCTTCGCCCCTCGTAAAGATTCTTTTAATTTGCGTCGTCACTTCAAATATTAGCTTATACAAACCGGTCTGATCGCAAGAACTTTAGTAGCGGGCCATTCAGCGCTGCTTCCTAAAGGCACCTCACGTATGCACCTTACAATTTGGAGCGCTCTTATGGCAGAATATGCTCGTAATACACAAACGTCATGATCATTTGCTGCTAGTACGATGGGTGCGCTCGCTTATCTAAGTTTTAACGACGTATAGCACATCGCTATTGTAGCCGGTGTCACTTACTGCTTGGTCCGGTCCGCATAAAAACTGATGCTGCTCGAGAGACGTGAGTGCATACGAGCCATACAGCTTGTACGGCTGACGCTTAGGCAGACGAGTAGCATGCCTCGAAGTACTAAACAGTCGAGAGAGCCTCGATGGCTTCAACGAAATCGGAAAAACATAACAGCGGATTGATGCAGAAACGAAAGCTATTGCGGATGCTGTACGAATTGAAGCGTAGGGAAGGTTACAACGGTTGACAAAAACAAAGAAGTCCCTAGCCAGCCAAAATAGCAGTGTCACATCCAGCAAACGCTGTCCCCGATGCACGTGTCTGCCCGCCATAATTCGAAAGACGATGATAAGAGTGAACACTCTATGACTCGTCACGCCAGCCTGGCTTTGAAGTTTTCAACAAACAAGCATCTCCCATTGTCGCTTTGCGACCTATTCCACGTCCATAGACAGCTCTGTCGTCGGCAAAAGCTTCAAAGTAGAATCCACCGATATTGCGGTCCCGATCGGACATATTCATGAATAATTCGATACGTGTCATAATCGCAGATGCCAACTAAAACTCTGTATGATTTCTTTTCCCTCTTCATGACACGCTTCGTATAAGTGAAATGAAGCAAGCGACTAAGCGTACTTCCATTATCCGTTCCGTTACTGCTGCTATCGATTTGGTCTGCTATTGATGAATCTTCACATATCTGCAATCGGATTCGCATGCATGGTGACGGATTTGATCACGATCTCTTTAAGCGGGTGGTTCTTGGCATCTACAGGCGTCTTTTCCATGGCATCCAGCGTATCCATACCATCGATGACCCTGTCAAAAGAGAAGCCCCCAAATGGAATAGCGAAATGGTTAGTATGTATCAGTGAGATACTATCGTGGTGGTCGATAATATCAAAGCACTAACTCCGGGTGATATACACCACCACATAAATCCATTTTGGACTATTTTCATTCCCACGTACTTGCCAAATATCGTGTAGACGTTGTTAAGATGGGGCTGCTTGGCGTACGTGATAAAGAATTGCTGCTTGTTGGTATTGGGACCGCTATTGGCCATGGACACGACACCTCGGCAGTTGTGCTGCTTACAGAGCAACACGTTAGTGGCTACAACTATCAACGATTTTCACGAATCAGCCACTGCCGTACTCGATTCTGCGGGTGAAATTCATCATCAATGGTTCCACCCCATATACTTTCGCCACCTTTGCCTGTACTTGTCGGGTCTCCTCCTTGCACCATAAAACCTTTCATGTTACTGTAATCATAGTGACAAAGTTTAGAACCTATGGGACATATTTTTTTTGTAAAAATTTGTGCAATCTTGTTGCAACAGCATCTTGCCGGTAAAATGTTGTGCCGTCATAGGCGCCACTTGCACAAAGTGCCAGGAAATTCTAATAGTGACAATAATTTACAACGTTAAGTATACATCATTACGTAAAAAATGGCAAAATGCGAATTTTTTGGGCATACTTCAGCGGTATGGGGGGCGGTGTCGCAGCAAACTTCAATCTTGATGTCACCTAGTGTCGTGTGCAGTGTAACAGACTAGAAACATACGGAGTAAGAGATTAGCAGCTTTAGCGCAAATGTCATGAGTAGCCAGCCCATCAGACGTACCATCGTTAATACCGGCAATATCAAAATGATTTTTTCTAATCACCAGGAATAAAGTAACCTGAATTATTATGTGTTGCAGGATGCAATACCTATATGTTGGCATATCCGCGCTGACAGCTTCATGGACATCCACGATTGTTGAATCTACTGGAGACCTTGCCACTTGACTTTCATCTTGTCAGTTCTGCATTGCCTTTACAGCTGGCAGTACATACTGTGGTCGAGTAGTATTCTAGCGCGTGTCTACATCGATTGTGCCATCTTTCTAGCTTGCTGACATTGTTACCTGCTCGTAAAAAGATTATGGGATGCTACTGGTCGGCTTCACATATGTCGGCGCATTATCCTCTTCTTCATCACTTGTGTGAGAATACTGCCAACAAGCTTTGAAATAGATGCAAGATGCTTTGAAGCGGATAAAAGCACTATGGATCTCCTGGAAGACGGAAGTGACGACACGAGATGCACAACCTACTTGATTAAACTTCGCGTTTAGGAGTACACAGCTAGCATTTCCTCAATTTCTAGGCGACAAATTGGGCACTTGGTCACTTCTTGACGGTAGGAGCACGTCTTGCACAAGCACAAATGACGGCAAGGTAGACACAGTATGCTCTTTTTGTTGGAAAGACAGATCACACAAAGCTTAAGCTCATTCTGCTCCTCGACCTGCCGGTCGAGTTTTTTTTGCACTTCCAGTGCCTTTTCCTCCTTAATCGAGCGCACATGGCTCAATGTACTCTCTAGCTGCTGCTCCCATTCCTTCAGCTCCTCCATTTTGCAGTTTGTCAGAGAGACTGAGGCAACTTTTGACAGAGCTGCTCGAATGCCGTAGGAAAAACTTGAGCGAACATTGCAAGCAGCTTTATGCTGCTGAAGCGGGTCCGGGGTCCGTCTATCAAAAGAGTGCTCTTGCTCGGTTACGCGTTTCCGCAATACAATTAACTCCTTCATCAAGGAGTCGTGATGCTGCTCGTGATCTTCATGTTCGTGAAGTTGAGTCTGCAGCACGTTATTTTCAAGTAGCAATCGATCCCGATCCCGTTCTACACGGTCGATCAACAAATGCAACTTTTGGTTGTTGTGGCTTAACTGGACAATGCGACGACGCGCAAAGGAGATTTGCTCCTGCATTTCGCAATTGCGGAGGCTTAAATCTTCGCAATAGTGCCGCCACAGTTTGTTATCGATATCATTGCCTTCGTCGACATCCCAGGATTGCATTGCCATATCGCAGTCAGCATGTGATTCGAGCGCAACAGCGGGCGCAGTTGATATCACAGTCGACCTTGTGGCTGTCACTTCACCTAACGACAATGTAACTCGAGTTGGCGGATACTCACGAACGAGTTCTTTACAAAAGGAATGACCCATGAACTCTTCTTCGTCGGAACCTTGGAATTCAAGTACACTATTGCAGTCAAAACTTGTATCGTTTTCATTGTCGTCCTCTACTTTCCTTTTCTGCTGCACCGAGTATTCGTCATCGGAAGCTTTATCGTCCCAGCCAAACTGCATCGCAATATCATACTGGATAGGCTCATACTGCTCGCTACTACCCGCGCTGCCTGATGATAGATGTGATAGTGGGGATGGACTAAATTGTTCATGATTCAACGGACGACGACAAACCCATTCACCCGAGTCGCTATCATCCTCATCACTGTCGCATATAAAAGGTTGCTGTTGCGCTATGCCAAGGTCGGGCCGAAAACGCTCCACTGTAAGATTGTCATGATGCCCGGACGTAAGAAAGGGTACTGCAGTAGCATCTAGAAGTGACCCAGACCCAGGAACACTTACGAGCGAGCTAGGAATTGATGCCCTATCGCCACTTATAATAGATGCCCGCCTATCCCCTGCAGCTGGTGACTCCATCTGATACTGTCGAAACAAGTTCCCTCTGATCCTGCCCAATGATCCCTTTCCCCACGTCAGTCCATCCACTGCCAATGCGCATTTCTGCGCTACATCCGGACCGTCGAATTCGAGAAAAGCATGCCCTTTAGTACGTCCTGTGGAGCTTGTTGATGGAATGACCACTTGAATGGGGTCACCAATCATGCAAAATAAGTTGCAAGACAGAACGTTTACTAACTCCTCAGTTCGATCCATTGACACCAGTGGTAGGTTTGTCAGTACACAAACACTATTAAAACACGTGCCAGGGCGTGCACTTTCAAACTCAAATTGCGCCATATCAAAGACTGGCCACTTAGAGGGAAGAAATGAGAGCTGATTCAAATTCGATGGCGATTTCGCGTCGACGATGTCTGTTTGTACGAGACTACCGGAATTTCTCTCTTGTGATTTCCAACTTTGTTCGACATTGTCACCCCCACTCATGTCAACATGTGCGTCACAAACCATTTTCACCAACAACATGAAGATATCTTCGTATGCCAAATCGCAATCTGAGTCATAATGATCAATCTCAAAAGCACCTGCCTCGAGTGCTGTTCGTGTAATATCCTCTCGAAAACCTAGTCGAATCAAGTTGATTAGCATGGCATTGATAATGGCACGAGCTTTTGAAGTGTTGGTCGCTCGATTCAAAGTGTCGTCGCCTTGCTCCAGCTGTAATTTTCCACATTCCCATGCCGTGTCGTTGCTAAAATCCTCAGATCCCTCACTCTCGTAACCATTATCACTGCCCATACCGTTTGCCTTATCTTCTACACACGCTTGTTCAACTGTCGGCCAAGAAGGATGTACATCACCGGCGAGATAGTTTCCAGCTCGTGTCATGCTTTGAAGCACCATATCAACACTCTCCATCTTGATGCATTCATCTCCCTCCCCATATTCCTCGTCGTCACTGTCCAGGGTACTATTGCCATCCTCAGCACACCCATGTTGCTCTGATAGCGACATATGCCAAGCAGAGGCTGAACAACACAGCGGTGGTCCACGTGAATTGTCGTCCGCGTGCTTTGTTTGATTTACTGCAGACCAAAGCTGCGCCGTACGAGCAATTAACGTTCTTGTGTCAGCATCTTCACTCTCTATTTCCTCTGCAAAGTCATCTGCACTTGTTTGCTTGATCCATGGCTTCGATATTACTGGATCTTCCAAATTCATTGCAAATGTAGCAGCACGAGACGATTCCTGACGTTGTTCTTGCTCTTGTTTATCTTCACTTGCTGTCTTGTTCCAAGGATATGGCAGTCTAGCAGTCAATGGACTTTCTTGTTTTCTCTCTTTCTGTAGATTACTGGGTCTTGATCCATGGCCAGAAGAGCGCAATACGTTGACCATTACCATATATTTTTAATAAAAATACTCAAAGATTTATGAATTTTAGAATCTGGCAGTCAATTCAACAGGTATGTGGTTCGTTTGAATCGACCGCTGTCTTGTAAACTTGATAACAGAAGCGTTGTAGTGGTATAAGGCGCCGTAGCCTGCGCTACAACTTGATGTAGTGGCAAGGAAGGACGGCCCAAGTGCAACGCGAAACTTTCCGCGCCTTTTTGGGTTCAGATTGGATGAACGAATACGACGGGATTGGTGTGTACCACATGAATGCAGACCCCATCCAGTCACTGCTGAATGGTATATCTAGCCAATCAGACGATACTCAAAAGAGCAGTTTCAACCAATGAAAACGCTGAAGCGCAAGATTCCGGCCTTCCTGAACTCGCACAAAACAAAGCGCAACTTCTTCCCCTGATAGATCCTCGTACACGATTATAAGTCTTTGCCCGTAAGTGTCTACGGGTGTGTGTACTAGAGGACATACGTTTGAATTCACGCCAAGTGTTACTAATTGATAATCGACTGAAAGGTACAAGAGTTAAAGCAAAAAAGAGAATGAAAACAACGGCTTAAACCCTGTGTTTCACAAGAACCTTTAGCTTGTAAATAGCGTACAAGAGAGGAATGGTGGTATTAACTTAGTGTATTGTGTGTCGTAGAAGTAAAAACAAGAGCAGAAAAAGACAAGATGGAAGCTGTAGGTCAGAAGCTGCTGGATTTCTCGCAGCCCTTTGACGTGACAGCTCTGGATCAGGTCGTGCAGTGCATGAACGATCCTAAAAGCCCTCACCAACGAGTGGCCAATCAGATCATGGTGGCATTGCAGGAGCACCAAGATTCGTGGACGCGTGCTTCTGACATCTTGGAGCAGTCAAGCAGCATTCAGACCAAGTTTTTTGGACTACAGGTGCGGCGCTTTTTGCTGTAGCAGAATGTGGCAACGATACAGAGTATTGACGCTGTTTTTAACAGATCTTGGAGGATGCTATCCGGTACCGTTGGAAGATCTTGCCCAAGGAGCAACGTGAAGGCATTAAGAGCTACATTGTCGGCAAACTGCTGTCGGTGCGTTGATGAATTAGTCTTTGATACTACTTTGGTTGTGAAGTGGTCGATTAAGCTCAGTATGCTGTAGATGTCGTCGGATGAGTCTACTCTGCACAACCAGCGCATTTTTGTGAACAAGATGGACCTTGTATTGGTCCAGGTGTTAAAACACGAGTGGCCGCAGAACTGGCCGTCGTTTATCACGGACATCGTCAACTCGAGCAAGACCTCGGAGATAATGTGTGAGAACAACATGACTATCTTGAAGCTGCTGAGTGAAGAAGTGTTTGACTTTTCTAAGGACCAGCTCACGGAGCAGAAGACCAAGACGCTAAAAGAAAGCCTCAACCATGAATTTACCCAGATTTTTCAGGTACAGTGCTAATTGTCGGTTGGACGTCATTTTTGTAGCCCGTTGACGTCTCTATTTATGCACGTGTCTGTCCCTGTGTCTGCCTTTGTAGTTGTGTGAGTTCGTGCTGAACAAGTCGACACACGTTCCGCTTCTCCAGATTACATTACAAACGCTGCTTCGTTTCTTAAGTTGGATCCCCCTTGGATTCATCTTTGAGACGGATCTCATCCAGATCCTCGTCACAAAATTCCTGGCTACGAATGTGTTTCGCAACGATACTATCAGCTGCTTGAGCGAGATCGCTCAGCTGGGCGATGTTCCAGAGCAGTACAACAACTTGTACATTCAACTGTACATGGGTGTGCTGAATGAGGTGGGTAAGATTCTTCCGCCTGGTAGTTCGTTCACTCCTTTCTGGGAACAAGATGAGGTGTTCGTCCAGCGTTTAAGTATTTTCTTCACGAGTTTCTTTCGCTTCCACATTCAAGTTATTGAGCGACCAATATCCGTGCCGGGCGATGAGGCTCATCAAGCGCTCCTGGCAGGTTTCACATACCTCGTATGCATTGCCGAGGTAGACGACGACAGCATTTTCAAGATCTGTTTGGATTACTGGCACTTCTTCACACGAGACTTGTACACGGTTGATCAGAACCAGATGAACCCGCTTGCAGGCTTTCAAAACCAAACTCGCAGCCGGCGTGACCTTGTGTCACCCGTTATGAACCGTGTGCGCCACGTTATGATCTCGAAGATGGTGAAACCGTCTGAAGTGTTGATTGTGGAAGACGAAAATGGTGAAATCGTGCGCGAGACGACCAAGGATACAGAAGCGCTGTCGCAGTACAAGACGATGCACGAGACGCTTGTGTATCTGACTCACTTGAACTACGATGACACGGAGACTATCATGCTAGAAAAGCTTACTGCTCAGGTCGAGGGCACGGAGTGGTCGTGGAACAACCTGAACACGCTGTGCTGGGCTATCGGCTCGATTTCTGGCGCAATGAGTGAAGAGAACGAGAAGCGTTTCTTGGTCACTGTGATTAAAGATTTGCTGGGGCTGTGTGAGATGAAGCGTGGCAAGGATAACAAGGCTGTGGTCGCCTCGAACATAATGTATGTCGTAGGCCAGTACCCTCGTTTCCTGCGTGCACACTGGAAGTTCCTTCGCACCGTCGTGAACAAGCTATTCGAGTTCATGCACGAGCTCCACCCTGGTGTACAAGATATGGCATGTGATACCTTTCTCAAAATTTCGCAGAAGTGCCGGCGTAAGTTTGTAGTTTTGCAGAGTGGCGAAACCCGCCCGTTTGTGGAGGAGCTACTGGAGGAGCTGCCTCGTATTGTGTCGGACCTGGAAACTCACCAAGTGCACACGTTTTACGAGGCTGTGGCATCTATGCTTGCTGCTGAAAATGATGCTGGCCGGAAGGAAGTGCTCCTTGGTCGCTTGATGAACCTCCCCAACGAGGCTTGGAAGTCCATTATGTCCCAAGCAGCTCAAGATGTGAGCATTTTGTACGACAGCCGGGGTATCAAGGAGATTGTGAAAATTATTCGAACAAACGTAAAAGTGTGCAAGGCCATCGGGCCTAATGGTTTTAACTCGCAAATGGGCTACATTTTCCAGGACATGTTAAACGTTTACGTGGCATACACGCAGCGGATTGCAATGATGGTCGAACAAGGCGGAGAGATCGCAGTGAAGACGTCGGAGGTGCGTTCACTGCGTAGTGCCAAAAAGGAGAGTTTGCGCCTTATGGATGCGTTTGTGGAGCACACAGCTGGCGATGACTCGGCTCGGCAATTCGTGGCCACTCACTTTCTGCCTAAGCTCTTGGAGAGGGTCCTCTCGGACTACCAGAACACAACTCCTGCGGCAAAAGAAGCGGAGGTGCTTAGCTTGCTGGCAACTAGCATTAACAAGCTCAAGAACATCATTGCGCCCACAGTGCCATTGATCCTCGAATCTGTGTTTGAGTGCACACTCCAAATGATTACGAAGAACTTCGAGGATTTTCCGGAGCATCGCGTGAATTTTTTCAAGCTGCTGCAGGCTGTAAATGATTTCTGCTTCGAAGCGCTGTTCAGTATCCCGCAAGAACATCAGAAGCTGGTCGTGGACTCGATCATATGGGCTTTTAAACACACGGAGCGCAACGTTGCAGATACGGTACGTTTGCTAGCAAGTATGATTTTATCGCATTTGTTGAAATGTGACTGAAACTAACAGTGGATTGTATCTGGTTCACTTGAAATAGGGTCTGGCAACGCTGTTTGGTCTGCTACTGAACATCCAAGAAAACCCCCAGATCGCCGCTGGCTTCTACCGATCGTTTTACCTATTGCTGCTACAGGATATTTTGGCTGTGTTGACTGACCGTCTTCACAAGTTTGGCTTCAAGCTACACGCGGCAATCTTGCGCCACATGTTTTCCATCGTGGAAAACAACCACGTGGTTGTGCCTCTTTGGGAGTCTGTGCCTAATGCGGGTGCCATGCCCCAGGGACAAACGAACTCGGTACGTGGACCGACTTCATACTTGCTGCTTCCAATGAGTTGTCCTAACTTGTATTGCCTTGGCGTTACTTTACCAGGCTTTCCTTAAAGACTACGTAGCGAACCTGATTGGTTCGTCGTTCCCGAACCTGTCCCGTGCTCAGGTGGTGGAGTTTGTAGTTGGCTGCTTTGATATGTCAAAAGACCTGCCGACATTCAAGAAGCATCTGCGTGATTTTCTCGTAAACATCAAGGAATTTGCTGGCGAAGACAATGCTGAGCTGTTTTTGGAAGAAAACCTTGCCCGGACTCAGCTGCAGGAGAAGCAGGATTTGGCCGCGAAGCTCGCAGTGCCAGGCCTCGTGAATCCGAACGAACGTCCAGATGAAATGGCCGACTTGTAGGCCTCCTTTCCAACCGGAAAGTAGCAATAAATGGAGCCAAACAACTTGAACTCTTTAGATGCAGCAAGAAACTAATTTGTGATACACAATTGCTTACGGGTTCACGTGACGCACAATGGCACAAGGGGAGCGCTAATTATCCCGCACTTTCTTGCTAATTAGCCCATCTTCCCAAAATTATTAGGGGAGCGTTAGATATCCCACACTTTTTCGTTAATTAGCCCCCATTCCCAAATGTGTCCAGATCGAGTTGGGTATTCACCTTCAATGCTTGAGCCTCATTGTCATGCTTAAAAGTGCCCATTTAACGACTGCGCATAGACATATTTGATAAGTATGCGTGATACGCGAGTGTCAGGATCATTGGCCATACATTGTCACCTTGAAGTCCAAGCCTCTACATTGTCACCTTGAAGTCCAAGCCTCTACATTGTCACCTTGAAGTCCAAGCCTCTACATTGTCACCTTGAAGTCCAAGCCTCTACATTGTCACCTTGAAGTCCAAGCCTCTTGTTCGCTCTATTCGTGACACTTTACAAGCTTCATCTTGATGAATAACTCTGGGCTCAAGTTTTCTTCAGCATCCATAATTTTACAAATATCCACAAAATCAACAACTTGTCAAAGCACCGGAAACAGCAAATAACTTTAGCCCCAAACGCTTCCGATTCCACGTACTGCAGACTTGCAGCGGGATGTCTACGCGGTGTTCAGCCACTGACTTGTTCATCTGTTGCAGCAGCTCCACATAACGCGTAACGTTGTCACTGAGGAAGCCCAGCTAATCCTGTCAAAAATCCGCCATGATGTCCGTGATCTGGTCAAGCGTTCTCACGCCGTCCACCAGCGCCTCCATCAATTTGAGCGGCAGGTGCTTCACCACGTCGTCTCAGAGCAGCGCTGTACCTGGTCCAAAGACGGCAACGGCTTTGTTTCAGGTATAAGTTGCGATTTAATGAATTGACTGCTGTTATAAGAATGCCTGTCTGCAGTGAATGGCGCCTTGGGCTGAGACGGAGACCCGCTGAACGTGAACGAAGCCACGCATGGACTTTACTATGGAGAGGCTCAAATCTGTGACGTTAAAAGTATCTTTTTGTAAGTTCAAAAATTCCCATTTAACCTATTCTGACCAATCAGATTTGGGGAAGGTGGGCTAATTCGCAAGAAAGTGCAGGATAATTAGCGCTCTCCTTCACAATTGAACACGTGACGCCTTTGTCTAATCATGTATAATTTAGCTAACAAATTTACAAATTAGATTAACAACGGCACACAGAAACTGGCAACCATCATTTATGGTGGATAAGGACCAGCACGCACGTCGCTTGCAATTGCTCTCGGCGCGCAAGTCCGCACTCGTTTCAGCGGGTGGCGTGAACGCGCGTCGACTAGTACTGCATCGACGGGTTTCAAAGGAAAAAGAAAAAGAAAAAGAAGAAGAGATAGAGCCTAATAATGAGTGTGGAAACCTCTTTTGTAGGCAGATTTTAGTAAATCGGTATGCTAAATTCTGCGAAGATAAGCCTATATGTCAGCGTTATCGGGCACTGAAATTGCAGTGCCTGGCTAATGCGCAGGCAGAAGAGGATGAGGAAGACACGTGGCCTTTGTTGCTTGCAATTAAAAGGAAAAATGAAAAAGAGGAAGAAGAGGAAGAGGATAAGGAGGAACACAAACAGAAAGGGAAGAAAAAAAGAAGGAGAAGGCGGATGGGACATTTGCAATCCCCAGAAAAGAAATGAGCTTGAATGCTGTAGGAAAGAAAAAGCTGAACCTTACCGTCAGTGCTTCGGTCGCTAATAAGAAGAGAAAATGTACCTTTGGTAGTCCAGGACGTGTGAAAATGTTAACAAAAAAAAAGAAAAGAGAAATGGAGAAAAAAATATACGAAGAGAAGAAGCAAAGAAGCAAGAGGATGAAAAAAGCCCAAAAAGAAGCAGCAGAAAGTAAAATAACGGACATCTCTGTTTTGAATCATTCGTCCAGTGTACAAGGGTCGTCGGCTTTATCGTCAGGTAAGCATGGGCTGCATACGAAAAAGCAGAAGACAATTACATTACCACTAGTGCGGCAATCTACTGAAATCAGTAATGATGCCGAAATTGGAAGCGAATTGTACATTTCTCGGATAAAGAGACGCCGGGTAAGCGTAGATAACGCCTCGGCTCGCTCCGCACCGTCGTCTCCTATAGGTGCTGTTTCTGTGGCTTCCGCAGGTATCACGAATTGGAGAATTCCCAGGGAAAAGCCAGCTCAAGCAAGGACCTCAGCGCAGGCAATGAGGAGAAAGATGAGTGTGGATCTTGTGCCTCTTGGCGTTGCCAACCGAACTAGCTTTGCTGGTGGAAGATACGTACAAAACGGAAATCGGTCCGCTGTGCAATCATTGAGGCCCTTAGACCCGCGGCCAAGACCCCCAAGTAAGACCAAGCTTCCGGCACCTGCAGTATCAGCAGCACCCACTTCTGCATTAGTTCTTAATGCGTCGTCCAGACCTGCGCAGAGAACAGAACAAACAGCGCTATCACACACTCAAAGACCGAATCCAACGCTACCTCCTCAGGATGCTATGTTGGCCCCGTCGGAGCCTCAGCAAACAGCTAGAGCCTTCACGCCCGTAGCACCGCCGGTGAAATCTCCCACAATAAGATATGTCCCAAGTTCACTCACCACAACTGTAGTGCCTGACATTACACGGATTTCGACCACCGATTATCTAAAGTGCAAGAGAGGTGATAATGGACGACATCTACCAGGACAACAGACGAAACACCGACCATCGCGATCTTCGTCGATTGAACGCTCTGGCAGCTCAAGTGATGATCGTGCTTCAAGATTTCTGCCAGCTACCGCCTATCCGACGAGCCCGCCCGGATGCCATCGCATTGATAGTGCCCCACTGTCATCGTACACGGTATCTTTCTCCGCTGTAGATCCACGTAGACAGCATTTTGAAGGTGAAGGAAGACACCAGCGATCGCATCTCGGTTTAGAGGAAAACAAAATGAGGTACCGAGAAAGATCGGAGGCCCGCGGCGAGTGTGAATGGTCCACGTCTGCGATGCGGGAAGCTGCGAATTTCCCGCCATCACGTGATCATTATCCTTTCCGGCATCAGGATCTATCTGAGACTGGTTTTAGCAGTAGTGACAACAACTACGCATTCGATACAAATGTTGACTCAGCTTCATCTTTAGCAGAACCCTCATACTGGAGAGGACCCACGCAGGAAGAGCTTCCGCCACCTCAACGTGTCCCGAGTACTCGCCAAAGTGAGCAGCATGTACATAACAAACGGAAAAACTCTACTTACGACGGTTTGGAGAAAGATGTTCCAACATTCTCACACAAGGAGAATTTTCTACCACGTTTGCTGTCAGTGTTTGTTAAAAAGTTGCCCCAGTCGCTGGAAGCAGTGTTCAACGTAACAAAGAAGCCGAGAAAGATGAATTGGTACGTTACGTACGTCAAGCGAATTGAGCACATTTGCAAAGCATTTGACCTCCATGTGAAGTTCGATGGCTTGACAGCAGCGGTGACTGTGCGAGGCCGTGAGTGGCTTACGTTGCAGAGTACGTCTACGGTGTCACTGCATCTCAATGTCATCAAAAGCATACGGGCCGAGGCGGTGACGTGGTTAAGGTTGAGTGAGGAGATGGAGTCGGCTTTTGATTACTACAAAGGTGTGTATGGCAACCAAGTAAACAAAAGCATTTCCTTTCTTCGTGCTTGGAACGAATTGAAGCACAAGGAAAATTATATCTCGCTACCAAGAGAGACTAATTACTTTTGTGGTGCACGACTCCATCACTGGAATTTTGTTGTCGGAAAGGTAGAAATCGGGAGTGGCAGCCACGAAGAGAAGCGCGAGGCATTCCGTTTAGCCACTGTGAGCGCGCTAAATTTTCTGTTGAGCATACGTCGTCGTGAGCGTCCTCCTGCCGAGGGTATCGTGGAGGACGCTCTGCTCAGCGCTAAAGGACACCATCGAAGCTCAAGCCGCGAGTCATCCTTGGGCGATAGAACACGCGCCTCTCCTGCTACCGAGACCGAAAATGGTTCATCTTTCGCATTGCCCTCTGCTGAGCTTCCATCTTCAATTGAGCCACTTCCACGTGCAGAACAGCCGTCTTCTGTCGTGCGACCTACCGAGCATCGTACGGTGGCTCGTAATCCTGAGGAGACGAAGACACCTTTTCACGTCAAGCAATCAATTACTAATAGGCTACAGCTTTCTGCTGACGCACCTTTAACTGACGAGCCACATTTTGGAAGATCAACCTCTTCCATGAATGTTGAACGCACAGAGAAAGCAACTGAATTGAGCTCACCGGTAATCATTTCTAACAGCAGTCATAAGGTGGCAGAGGCTGCGGAACGAAGTGATACGTGCGATGAGCTGACCATTACAGGTAAGTGCTTGTTTGTGACTATGTCATAATTTAGTGCAGACAACACTTTTTGAGCTTTGGACTGAATTTCTATGATGGTGCTCTTCTGTAGATGCAAGCAACATGAGTGCATTGACTACAGCACGATCGCCGCTTCGATCGAAAATAATACCACTGAATGCCCCTACAAGTTCACCTGGGCCTGTTGCTAAACTCGCAGCTTCTACCACACTAGCTACCACACCACCACTCTCTACTCCGGCAGAAGAAATATCTACACCTTTGACCACTGAGGCGGAACGTAAAACACCCGTGGCGATGCTCGCGACGACAGTGGCAACATTTGGTGTCTCTGCAGCTAAGGCCACCTCAGCAATGCAGACCAACGCAATACTACCTTCACGGCGGTGTATGATGTGCGAGATGATTCGTATGCGAAACCCGGATAGTGAGCGATGCTTGCGCTGCCAGCAGAACGATGCACCAGCAAACGGGGTACTTCGTACCTTGTGTGGGCCTTGATTTAGCGCCATCTGAAAGAACTTATAGTAGTAGTTTCACGTGGACAGCGGTAGGGTTGGCATCGAAGCAATCTAAAAGCGATGCATACAGAGCAGAGCTTGCTTGCGCCGGTATGAGCAGGATATTGATGCTATCATTAATTTATTCAATACTTCACAGTACATTGTACGGTTAGTACTTCGAAGTGATTAATCTCACGGAATAGAAAACAAATTAAGTGGACAGCGTTAGATATTGTGAGTACTCGGTACCTTTGTTGATTTGGTGCCAACATTCACCTTTTCTCGGCTCTTGCCCGCGTTTGTAAACACGAAAAGCCCGATGCGCTGTCGCGAAATCGTTACCAGCATTTTTTTCCTTCTTTTTGCAGGCAATGTGCTGACAGCCGTTCAAGATAAATTTCGCTTCGCCATTCACTTGAGCTACCCCAGAGCTGCTTCTTTGTGGGGCATGTGGGGCCATCACAACGATCGGCAAGGTAGTTGTGATCATTATCGTCATCCGTTACCTGATTGGCGACTGTAAAAAGCTAAATAGTTTCACGTAGCTTATAAGCTATTCATCCTAGAGCTGAAGCTTCTTATTGTAAAATACAACCTGACTGCTATCATATCGCGCCGTTGTCCACAGCTTTGCGGAATAGCTAAGTGCTAATGGTTCAAAAATGGAACGCAAAAATACACTTCTATCAGCTCGTAGCACTGCCGCTGAGTAAGCGCTGTAAGTGTTGTCACTCGCGGTAGCCCAGCTGCAGCAGCGTTTTGACACTTTCCAGCGTTTCCTCAAGGAAGGCGCAATGATACTTGGCGGAGCCCCACAAGCTACCCGCAGAAGCATGATAGTTTTAGTAAATGGTGCAACATCATTTCCAAAGATAAAAACAGCCTTGAATGCAGCGTTTCGCGAGAAATCGCTTCGTTCTCAGCAGCAGTTAAAGCGAAGGAACAGTAAGTCTGTCATAGGAGCTGATGCCGCTACGATGTTTAATGCATCAAATTCATAATCTTTTGCTCCAGGATTTTATACCCATGGAATGTCAAAAATGTGAAATGATGCATGGAAATGACTTGCAGCCCTGCACTATAAAGCAAAAGCTTCAGGAACGAAGCATTTCATCGATGCCTCGTCGATCACTGCAGCTCGTTCACTCGGACTGCTGGCGGCTGCATAGCAGGCCAGTTCAGTGAATTGCTTGGTGTGATCTGGACCCATCATAAAATTGATATGGCTAATCCTAGAAATCACGTAGCTTGCCCGCAAACACCCGGACGGCTGAGCGGCCTCGGACGTCCCAATACCTAGGAGTGTCGGGCAAACTGGTTAAAAGGAGTGTGACCTAAAAATCGACTTAAGCTTGTTGTTTATGATGATGGTGTCCATTTACCTCCCTCCAAATTGCCTTATTTGTCTTCATTTTACAATTGATGTTTTGATTGGGCTGACTGAGCATTGAGGAATTGTTCCTTATGGTATTGCTTAATACTTGCAAACTTATCTGTGCTTGTCTCTTCGACGATTACTACATACTACCTTCGACAAAGCATCGCCAGATAAAGGAATTGGACACGACGGTAATTAGACAAGTCGGTTGAGGCAATCTAGCAGCACTTGGCAATCTTCTTTGCCATTGCGTTCTTGCACATGTGACTTCGCACCAGGCAACGGCACAAACGTTTAACGCGGTGATGCAGTGTGCGCTCGTTCAGGTAGTCGGCGCGTGTCGTAGCCCATTTTAATATGAGGCACTCGACTTTAAGCGCGAGCTTGAATGTCTTCGATCGCCAGTCTATGTTTTCAGGCAGGTGGTTCAGTATGTCGTGTGGCCGATGGTTGCGCAGCATGCGCTCAATGAGCACCACGTTGCTGGAGCGTAGACAGCGGATCTCCTCGCGCCAGTCTACGCTTTCACTAGAAGAAGCTGAGGCGTAGGTAATGGTTGTTGGGATTGCATTGTTGTGGAACACAACAACGGGGATGTCGTTACTTAGCCGAAAGGGCTGGAAACCCTGGGGGTTAGGACGGTTCAACATGTTGGTCAGAGCTGTGGCAATTGAAGTTGGGTGACACCAGGTCGAAGTCAAAGTGACTTACTTTGACTCTACGTAGGTGTTGCAGAATTATGCAAGATTTTTGTTTCTGCAACACCTTCAAGTTCACTAAGAAATGCAGCGCCATCAGGTGGTGTTGCATAAACAAGCTTTCCTCGCTTGTTCTTGCAACACTTCCTCGTTGCGTCGCAATTTTTTTTAGTTCTTTGTTCTCGCCAATCTCAAACAGCGACTAGATATTGGACTGGCACATTCTCTAAGTATCCACAAGTCTTTGCCGGCTTTAGCGCGTATTAGATGGTCAAGCTGCTGTTATCAGCGGATGACAAAGAGTGGTGGTAAGTGGCGAATTGGAACCCGCACACTTTGCCACCGCCGTGAAGCTCATGTCTTTGCTTTGCACTCTTTGTCATGCCCCACCTTTACGGATATAGTGTAAAGAAGTCCTACGAAGTTTAGTCCATTGGTTGCGTGCTTGTTTCAGCACAATCCTAATTTGCGAGCTGTTGCATCCGCTTCAGCACCTTATTGTATATATAATATACAGTATGCCCCAAAAATCGGGTACGGTGATTACAATGTAGGAAAGTGAAAAGTGGGGTATCGGGATGTCTTTATAATATTGGAGAAGTAAATTCTGGTCCAACCTGGTGGAGGTGGGATGAGAGTCCTTAATTAGTGGATGACAAGGGGATTATGCTATCAACAAAGAAGTATCCTTTGCTACACGCCTGCACGCTAGCTGAGTTGAGCTACACATTCGACGAGTTTTAGCACTATATTACCGTAATCAGCTCTCAAGAACGGGGCTGAATACTTACCACACGATTCCTAAACTGGAGCTATGGAAATAGCCATCCTGATGGCAAGTCTCTATCTGCACGACAAAGAAGTAATGCAGACCACGGACCAGGTCTGAGTTGCCACAGAGTATTTACCCATCAATTATTCGGTACTTCCCGGGACGAGAAATAGACTCGACATGCAAGATGCATCTAGCCTGCGCCTGGCCACACGAAAGACTCCAACGTATCCTTTGCGATTGCGACAGCGCGTCGAAGTCTTGGGCATACATTATCACGTATCATCCGCACAGCTGGTCGTTTACAAACAAGCAGCATTATCGTGTTCGGCACCGTAGCTACCACCAAGAGTGCGGGCGGCGATCACGCACGTGGTGTCAGCAAACGCTAACATCGATGGCCGATCCAGGAAAAGAATATGGTGGATAGCTTGCTCCGTCTGCGTAATTATGCTCTGGATTCAGCAAACTCAAAGTATCCATAAGCAGGCCACGGAGCACGAGGTAGCGGAAGTCAAACAAGAGTCTTTTTCGCCAACTCCAATCAAGAATAACGAAGAGATGTGAGCAATGGCGTCTACATCCGCCTAGCAACGAAAATGTTCCAAGATACCATCGTCAACCGTCAACCGGCACTGCAGAACCCTCGTAATTGACAGGAGACATCTCATGGAGCACTAGACAGTCTGCTCCCACCCACACCACCTTCTTTTTCCACTTATCATATCTCACCATCAGATCACCATACAATTGGCTAAAACATCAATCCAAATTGATCCATTCAATAAACTAGACCAAGCGTATCATGCTATCGCTGCGCCATCACCTTCATCAGGTGCCCGCCGTCTTCACTATTCGTTCCGGTTCCATCTTCACACTGCATCATTCTACATCTCTGGCAATTCCATATGTGCGTCTTTTTCAGTCATTGGGTCTCAACAACGCGCTGGTCGATCGCTTGTCACAACTGGGTCTGACAACTCCAACTTCCATCCAATGCAAGGCAATTCCGCCCATTTTGGCAAATAAGGATGTCGTTATAGCTGCAGAAACAGGTGGAGGTAAGACGTTGGCATTTCTCCTGCCAATAGTGGAGCAGCTCCGTCGTAATGTACTACCGATCAGTGAGATGCGCCTTCCGGCCGCTCTCGTGCTAACGACTTCGCAGGAATTGGTGCGCCAATTGGCAACAGTGCTGCATCAAGTAGACCCGGAACTTGCACAACTTGCAGTGAGCTTGTCATCTTCGAGGCAAAATCTAGGACAAAGCGATAAACGTGCATGTCCATTGGTGTTTGCCACTCCTGGAGCGCTGCTGCGTGGCACCAAACCGAAAGACTTTGCCTTTACACAGATGGTCGTTGTTGATGAGGCCGACATGTTGCTTGGTGGTGGGTTCGAAAAGGATACCAAGCAGATCCTTGCGACGATCCGCAACCAATCGCTACTGAGGTCCGAGCTAAATCGTTGTGGAGATACAGACGTGAAAAATCGAGAATTTCGAGATGAAGACGTTGCTATGGAACGCACCCAAACCATCTTTAGTGCAATATCCTCCTCACCTTGTTTCCTTGTTTAAGATTTTACGTGTGTGTTGTGCCTGATGATATTGCTCGATGGTATCCTTAACCCCTTGTGAGATGACTTGTGTGTTATTTTCTCCCTATTTCTGGCTCTAAACGCTACGATCCCAGACTATGGTAAACGTTCCGTGCGCCACTATATCGACTACAAGTTTCCGTCGGCTGTGTTCGCCATTACTAAGGTAGTATCTCGTCGCTACTTTGGATGGACGTATAAGTCATGTAACGATGGTATATTGTAGGACTTTCACCGCACGTTGCCAAACCTGACGCTGCGTGCGCATGACTTGCAGGGTTTCATGGCGCGTAGTGACTTCACGGACGAGAAGCATGCTCGCTGTGAACTCTTGTACGAGATTTTAACATCGGTGGGGATCAGTGATAACGACCAGGTGATAGCGTCAGCAGGTGAAAAGACGCTCGTATTTACCAATTCCATTGCAAGCGCCGACGCGCTCTTCGATTTCTTGCAAAATAACAAGAGCATGACGAACTGCGCACTGTTTCACAAGGAAATAGACCGAGCACAACGTCAGCACCTTTTAAAGCGTCTCGACAGTGAAGCCGAAGCCGATAAGGATCTCGTTCTCATTTGCACGGATATTGCAGCGCGAGGCCTAGATACCACTAAGGTGGGCCATGTCGTTCAATTTGAATTCGCCGGTGACGTGGTGAGCTACCTGCATCGCATCGGTCGTACAGGTCGTGCCGGTACAGCGGGTACCGTGACAAGTATTGAATCGCTTGAGAATGACCTCGTGCTAGATAAAATCCGAGAGGCTGGTACATCCACGCTGCAGAATGCTTTTAGTCGAAAACGCAGTCTCCGCAAAAAGTTTAAAAAATCGTTGAGCCCAAGCAACAGCGACTATTAGTCTTTTGGAACTCATGAATAGACAAATCAAGGACATATTGCTCGCGATTTGTGAGCTCTCTTGCTGTGACGCTCTTTTATATCGTAGTTTGACGCAACCCGCAATCCAATCACCCCAATTTCTCCCCCGGAACACACTTAACCCACGATACATTCGTGCAACCAAGTCCATTTACACTAGCAAAGAGGGGAACTCGCTTTGTGCTGCTCCTAAACGGAACTTGCACGTATTCGGAATGTGTGGACCCAAGAGCATCTTTTTTGGGAATGTCTTTGTGCTCAGGTAATATGGGCCCGGCTCATCAGTCATTGGGAGAGCACACCTTATAAGCTTAACCACCTACTGGATTGACTCAAGCACTGCGAAAAACTGTAGCTATCCCACGCATGTCGCCTCGAGTCACAGCAAAGATGTTAGCCCGGTATTCAAAAGACATAGATCAATTCGCCACGGCCTGGAGGTTTCTTGTATTACCTCAAAGGATAAGTTAGCGCAATATTGTCTTCCATTAATGCAGTTTTCCTTACCATTGACACGCATATTAGTGACGACGACGAAGTGATTCTCTTAATTGGCATTCGCTGCGTTGTAAAGCAAAGTGAAGGGACGTCCAACGACCTGCACCTGATCGTCCTCTCCGTATGCGCGCGGACGCGGAAGCACTGGTTCAACTGGCCGCCACGGGGTTGGCTCACATATCTGCTGGAGCATCCATTAACGTTTGTATAGCACTGCACCCAGTGCTCACAAAGACTAACGCACTGATCTTCCAAGATCCTAACTTTCGCCGCATGCGCACAGCTAGCTCGTTCGTTGTGTGATGTGTACGATACACCCTATTTCATCAGTAATGTCAATGTATATCCTTGCCTTCAAGTCAGTCCTACCATGATACATGCAACTGACATTGTTTGGATGTACAAGCAAATTTGCAATAAGATTGAGCAGCGTTCGGCTCATTACGTGAATAGTCAGAGAATGGGCATTCGGCCCGGGAAATGGGAGTGAAACACACACTGTCAAACCAGAACATGGAGGCTGAAAGGTGGTTTTCAACGCGGATTGGGTGACAAGGTGTGTCAGTGACCACGTCAAAGTAATGCAAAACACATATCGTTACTATCGTTAAAGTATTACGTTGTATCGAGATTTTGAATCGGACAGATAGATTTCTCTATATAGCAATTAGTGGGCGCAGCGTTGACAGCTCCAGCTTGAAGTGCTTTACTATGTAGGCACGCGTAAGCCCAATGTATAAACTTTTCTTATTTCATTTCGTCGATTTCGCACATTTGTTAATGCCGGTAGCCGTCATAGTCCACTACACGACGGATTCCCAACTTTGTCATAATTCTTTGCAGATATGTTCGGCTCGGGAGCTCAGTGATACATCAGTTTCAACATGATGTTTTATGATGTTTTATGCTGAGCAAAATCCGTAGTACTAAGGTCACAAACTGATCGCTAGTAACCTTTAACTACTACGTAGATAGATTGCTTTATTCTGTTTATCGAAAGCCGCTTTTACGCGTAAGAAGGATGATGATGATTTGCGAAGAAAAGCCGCAGCTTTTCATCACTTTGCTGTAAACATAAATTAGCTTCACCTTACCTATGATTGGCCGTTCTGGTTCAGTTCACAACCAATCAGATCAACGAGTTTCAGTGGCCAACGTTAAGCATTTCCATTCGCGTAGAATAATGGCAGGGAACAAGTTTTGGAAGACGGCGCCTACGAAGGTGCTTAAAACCATTAAGCCCATCGTGCACTGGGGGTTTGTACCTCTCATCGTGTACATTGCACTCAAGCAGGAGCCTGGCCTCACGTGAGTCTGCATCATATTCCTAAAGCTTTCTTAAATTATGTCAAAATTATGCTCTGTTTAACACGGTTTTTATCTGAAGTTTAATGCAGATTATTAATCCATTTGCGGCCCCTGCTGAGCCTCCTCAGATGTAACTCAATGAATGATAAAACTGAAAGCAGGAAGACACGTAAGAGTGAAAGTTAGCGATGCTGGACTGGATTCTTACCAGTAAATCACTAAATTCTAAGTTAGCGAGAGGACAAACAAGGGGTTGACTCTCAATGAACTAGAGCTGAGCTGCTGACTTTTTCTTTCTCCTTATTATTGTTTACGATTATCTCCGTCTTCTACATTTTGCCTTCCTAGACAGTGTGGTAGCATTCTATATTTTGTTACGTAGCTGTCTTGTCGAAAGAAGACGAGTGCTATAATAAAGCATTCTAGATACTGCACGTATTATGCTTAGTGCCTACGTTAGACAGAAAACCGCAACAGCGAGGTCTTAGAGATGCAGAAAAGACGGAGTACATGTCGCATTTACTTTAATGGCCAGCTGAAGATCCTTTCCGTATGACTCGGAACACAGCTCTTGATCTCTCATAGTCGCACTACCTTGTCGCTATGAAAACGATAACCTTTTAATTCTAATTTTGGCGTGGTATCGTGGTGATCTGCGATTGAATTGTTGTGAGCCCACGCCTAATCCGCAAAGTCGAGGATAGTGAGCCTCTTCCATTCATTGAAGGTCAGGCATTCTCCAGCAACTTGCTGTTTCGACACTCCTTTCGCTTCGTGCCCATGTAGGCCTGTTTAATCAAGCCTTAACTACTAGGTTCTAACTACTATAAAAATAGTGCTAAAATTATGTAAGGCGTTAACATCACGCACCTATTATCCGATTAGCGGATACTGCGCGTCATTTTATTATTGGTTCATTATTGGGGTGCCAGACCCAATAATTAGCCAATAATAAATTGACTTCCATATTGAGTGGTTCCCATGAGCTAGGGAACATATTCGCACTTACTGCGAATTAAAAATATATCAAAAATAAAACAGAGTTATATTTACGAGTTAATTTAGAGTGCTTCCTCAACGCCCTTTTAGTGTAAGACGGTAACGGGTCCTTAGCCCGTTACACCTGGTAGCACTTCGTAGTCCTTCCAATGACCAAATTCGAGATGAACATGGGCGAGTCTTCGGTGGCTCTCCAGCGGTCTTGCTGGAGCATTCTGATTTTCCACATCTCACCTCGGTGGAGTACATCGCCTCGCGGCGGTGTCTGGTGAAACTATTATGACGTCGCTGCTGAGCACAGCGACGTCCGATGATTAACGTGCCGTCATCCAAGCCTTTATGGTGCGCGAGCTCGCCGAAGCGAATCGGCGAGTATTGACTCCCAGCGCACTTCGCACCATGATGCTATCAAGATGTATACGTTAACGTATTCCGGTGATGGTCCGGATCGTCTCCCCCTCAATCGCTGGTTTCGCGAGGTGGATATTGCAATAGCGTTAAGATTAATTGACGCTCCGACGGCCAAAGTCAATTTCCTGTTGTCTCGTCTTGCTGGAAAAGCCAAGGAATGAGCTCTCGGAAAGCTCGTCGTAGATGAGTCGGCGTTTCCTACGCTGGACGATATCCAGCGTGACTTACGACTGGTTTTCGAGCCCCTTCAAGATGAATCTCGTTTGCGTACAGATTTCTTCTCACTCCGACAGAGCAAGCTGTCGATGCGTGACTACGTGCAGAAGACACGTCATCTCGCTTCGTGTATTACCACGCAGCCAATTGACATGGCTTCACAAGTCCATGTCTTTATTTTTGGTATGCAAGAGGGTATGACGCTTTACTTCCTCACACGTGCTGAGCCAAAGTCCCTCGAGGAGGCATTTGCCCTCGCGCTTCGTGAAGATACACTGTCGCGTCGTCGTACCTGCACGCAGCGTCATAACAAGCTCGGACGTCTGGCCCAGAGCCAATGGAAATTGACGCAGTCGAGTCCTCTTGTGGTCGCGACAAATCATTAAACCGCGACATTCGCAATCCTAACACTATGAAGTGTCTTCGTTGTGGCAAGACAGGCCATCGTGCGGCTGTCTGTCGAGCACCTGCGCCGGCGACTATGAACACAGCTGTCTTACGAGGAGACGCTGTGACTTCGGTGTTCCCGCCAAAAAACGAGCGGTTCCAGTAGGCGTGGGGCGCCCTACTGGCAGAAATGGAGCCCCGAGTACTCAGGTGGCAGCTCGGGCTCCTAGCTCCAAAGCGATTCATACTCACTTCAATGCCACCACCATGCGCGATGATTCGAGACTGATTATTATCAGTCTCATCGTCGCTGGAGTGAAGCGACCACATCGAGCGTTATTGGATTCTGGCGCTTCCGATAACTTCTTCTTTGCATCCTATTTGTCCCTTTCCCCGTCCACTGTCACGGTTCGAGAAGGTGTAGGTGACACCGTTGTCAAACTTGCCGATGGACAACCAAAACGTGTCCCGCGTAAAACAGTGGTTTTATCGTACACTTTCGACGGTTTCCAGAGTAATGACGAATTTTTGGTGTACGAGATGAACTATGCATTTGATTGCATACTTGGAATACCGTGGCTGTCACGGTATCAGCCGAAGATAGGTTGGCTATCTCGGTCCGTCAAACGACGAAGCGGTTATGACGTCAGTGAAGTGTTTACTCATTTGTTGGTCGCGTCACCCGATTGGCCTCACGTCAGGGTCGTGGACGAACTTGCCACGACTAGTAGTCAACACAGAGAGAGCGATGGCCCTCTGTAACGTTACACTGATGGAGCCACAGAACGAGGCGGTCGAACAGCGGTTCCCGCATACACAGACATTGGTCGAACAGGGGTTCCCAATAGATCTCGAGGCGATAGAGCAGGGGCTCCCGCGTACAAGCACATCGGACGAGCAGAGGCTCCCGATCAATTTCGAGGCGGTCGAGCAGGGCCTCCCGCAACCAAGTGAGGCGGTCGACGACGAGCTTTTGCCTATGATTGACGAGAATGAGCGGACTATGGATCCGCATGATACCGACGTGAAGGAGAATGAGCTCCTACGTCTAGAGGGGAATACATCATTCTTTTGTGATAGAGACGTGCCAGTCTCGAGCAGGGGCTAGAGACGCAAAAGACATTGCAAGAAAGAAGCACGCCGATCACCGAGACGACGCAA